AATGCTATTAAATATATAATGTGATATGATATAGTAAGATATATATTGGAAAATGCTAAAAGGAAATTGATCAAAATGTCATAGCAGTTATTGCTGAGTGGTAGAATTATAGCTGATTTTTATTTTCTCTTATCTACTTTCTTCAATGACCACACATGTAATTACTTTCCTAAACAAAATCCAAAACCAAAATCAAGTGGAAAATAAGACAAGACAAGGCTCAGTTAAAAAAGGAAAATTAAAAGTTTTTTTTTTTTTAAATCAAGAAATTATTATTTTTTTTTTGAGATGGAGCCTTACTCTATCTCCCAGGATGGAGTGCAGCGGTGTGATCTTGGCTCACTGCAACCTCTGCCTCCCAGGTTCAAGCAATTCTTGTGCCTCAGCCTCCCGAGTAGCTGGGATTACAGGTGCATGACACCATCCCTGGCTAATTTTTGTATTTTTAGTAGAGATGGGGTTTCACCATGTTGGCCAGGCTGGTATCGAACTCCTGACCTCAAGTGATCCACCGGCCTCAGCCTCCCAAAGTGCTGGGATTACAGGCATGAGCCACTGTGCCTGGCCAAGAAATGTCATTTTTAAAGAAAGAACATGGTTCTTACAAGTTTGCATCGGCTAAACAGTGATTCTCAAACTTGAATGTGTATTAGAATTACCTGGATGGTTTGTGAACAGCAACTGCTGCTTCTGTCCCTCCCTCTTATTCAGTAGGTTTGGATGGGGCCCTAAAATTTGCATTTCTAACAAGTTCCACTTCGCTAAAAGACAGCAACATAGAAAGCCTACATGGTGTAATGAAAATGATGTGGGTTTTGAGGTCAGTTTTGGCTCCGCCCTTTTCTAGCTGTTTTGTAGCAACGGTTGACAGACTAACCCTGCTCAGCCTGTTTCCACACTGATAAAAGTAATGCACCTCATGGATGTATTGTGAAGGTTAAATGGTATGATTAAATACTGAATATAGTGCTTGACTTAGTTAAGGATTTTAATTAATAGTGGTCTCCTTCCCTTTGACTTCCTCAAAGATACAGCAAACTTTTGCTATAACTGAGTTTATGGTGGCATGACTTAGCTATGTTACAGGTCAAATAATTTCCTTCAAACCTAACAAACCATAGAGTTCATTAGCTACTAACAAAATCTTCATCGTACATCTATAAAATTGGGAATAATAGTATAACAGTATTTTCTTTGATAAAATAGATAATACTGTCTACTTTGTAGGGATGCAACCATGAAGATTAAATAATATCGGCTAGGCAGGGTGGCTCACACCTGTAATCTCAGCACTTTAGGAGGCCAACGTGGGAGGATCATCTGAGTGCAGGAGTTTGAGGCCAGCCTGGGCAACAAAATGAGACCCCATCTCTATTTTTTATATAATTATTTAAAAAAATAAAAATAGGCTGGGTATGGTGGCTCATGCCTGTAATCCCAGCACTTTGGGAGGCCGAAGTGGGTGGATCACCTGAGCTCAGTAGTTTGAGACCACCCTGGGCAACATGGTGAAACCCTGTCTCCACTGAAATACAAAAAATTAGCTAGGTATGGTGGCACGCAACTGTAGTCTCAGCTACTCAGGAGGCTGAGGCACAAGAATCTCTTGAGCCTGGGAGGCAGAGGTTGTAGGGAGCCAAGGTCACACCACTGCAATACAGCTTGGGCTACAAAGTGAGATGCTGTCTCAAAATAAATAAATAAAATAAAACAGTAAAACAAGGTAATATGTTAGGTTTTTAATTCAGTAACTGGCATATAGAAGATACACAGTGTTAACTGAAGAATCCCAAGGTTTATAAATTTGGAGAGGAGAGCTGTATTTCCTTTCTTTTCTTTCTTTCTTTTTTTTTTTTTTTTGAGATGGAGTTTTGCTTGTGTTGCTCAGGCTGGAGTGCAATGGTGCAATCTTGGCTCACCACAACCTCCACTTCCTGGGTTCAAGCGATTCTCCTGCCTCAGCTTCCCGAGTAGCTGGGATTACAGAAGCCTGCAACGACACCTGGCTAATTTTGTATTTTTAGTAGAGATGGGGTTTCCTCCATGTTGGTCAGGCTGGTTTCGAACTCCCAACCTCAGGTGATCCACCCACCTTGGCCCCCCAAAGTGCTGGGATTATAGGCATGAGTCACTGTGACTGGCCGAGCTTTATTTTTTATAAAGGGTTGCAGCCTGCAGGTTGGTGATCCTGACAGGCTGGGAAGTGTAGACTGGCAGAGACTGAAAGCAGGCATTTAGAGGGAGGAAAGAGTGGAACGGTATGCCAAATGAGTTGGCTAAGAATATGTATTTAAGAAGTTATTTGATTATTCACAAAGTGGGGGGCAGTACATAGTTAGTAAACTGTGCATGTTACATATGTCTTATGTTCTCTTTGGGGTGGAGATTTAACATTTAAATGTATTACAATTAGATGAAGCAGAGGACATGAAGGTGCTCAGTGCACAGCCTCTGAAAAACCAGCCAGAACCCATCTGTGGTTGGTGGTCTTTTACTAGGATGTTACTGAAATCAGTCTCTTGTCCAATCAAAGTGGTAGTTATGGCTTGTGGAACAGGGGTTGGGGGGATACAGTTAGGTAGCTGGCATCTGGTGGTCAGTGAGAAACAATTGTTTCAGTATTGCTCATCTCTAGGCCAGTGTCTATTTAGCTACCAGAGAAAAAGACAAACATACTCTTTAAGTGTAGGGATGTGTGACTTAATCCTTGCCTGACATAGCCATAGGTCTTGTTTGTAATTTGGCATCTTATTGCCACAAAGAGTCTGTTCCTTCAGTCTTATAATGGCTATTGCAACAACAGCAAATGCCAGTTTCTTTCCCACTCGCTTTGAGTATTTATCCATAGTATCGTCCACATCTGGCTCAAAACTCATCTACAATACTTCAGTCTTTCCACCTTAATCAGATAGCTCTCTTTTGTGTCACATTTAATTTCAAGTCAGTTATTTACTTTATTTAAGTACTGGTAAGAACATACTCAGCCGGGCGCGGTGGCTCAAGCCTGTAATCCTAGCACTTTGGGAGGCTGAGGCGGGTGGATCACGAGGTCAAGAGACCGAGACCATCCTGGTCAACATGGTGAAACCCCGTCTCTTCTAAAAATACAAAAAAAAAAAAAAAAAAAAAAAAAAAAAGAACATACTCTACCTAAACTATTATACTGGATGCTCAAGGAGATAAGTAGAAGACCGTTCTCTAGCTTTGATGTATTTGGTTGAGACATCAATATACATTAAAAGTTGAATAGGAATGCAGAGTGGGACAAATTATACAGAAAGTGTAAGTGTGATACTTTTGAGATGACAGTGGCTGATCTGTTCATTATTTTGAACTCAGGAAATAAGAAATTAAGAAGAGTTGTAAGAGCTCTAGTTTTATAGCTGAGAAAATAAGCCCAGTGACATAAGTGGTCTAGGGTCCCAGCTATGAAGTGGCAGAGGTTTCCTGTCTCCTGGTCCTGTGCTGCTTGTGCATAGGTTTCTAACCACTCTCAAGTCTTTTAATCAGTTAATGTTTGCTTTAAGTAGATGGTTTAGTATAGCCAGGTAAGAAGTGGGTTCTGAAGCTAAAATGTTTGGGTTTGAATCTTGGCTTTGCTATTTACTGTGTGACTTTGGGCAAGTCACTAATTGATTTATTTATCCACCTATGAATATTTTTATTCATTTTATTTCATAGGATTGTTGTGAGCATTACATACTTAATATGTACAAAGCAAGAAAAACTGGATTTGTAATTATAATTGCTATTAGTCTGTGAGGGAATGGAAGGCAAGGAATCTAATCATCTATTTTTTTTTAAAAATCTCTTCCCTCGGCCGGGCGCGGTGGCTCAAGCCTGTAATCCCAGCACTTTGGGAGGCCGAGGCGGGTGGATCACGAGGTCAAGAGATCGAGACCATCCTGGTCAACTTGGTGAAACCCCGTCTCTACTAAAAAAAAAAAATACAAAAAATTAGCTGGGCATGGTGGCGCGTGCCTGTAATCCCAGCTACTCAGGAGGCTGAGGCAGGAGAATTGCCTGAACCCAGGAGGCGGAGGTTGCGATGAGCCGAGATCGCGCCATTGCACTCCAGCCTGGGTAACAAGAGTGAAACTCTGTCTCAAAAAAAAAAAAAAAAAAAAAAAAAATCTCTTCCCTCAGATTCTGATCACAGCATTCACGTGAATGGTCAATAAGTGCATGTTAGCCTATTGGGAGTTTTTGTATCACTGAATTAAGACTGGAGATTTGTGTAAGCCTGGCCTAGTCTGGTACCAAGAAAGTCTGCTAGGTCCTAAAATCAATCTAGTGCTAATCTCGGTTTTTAGAAAAGTAATAACCGAGATTAGCACTAGATTGATTTTAGGACCTAGCAGAGCTTTTTCTTAAAAAAAAAAAAAAAAAAAAAGTCAGTCAAGACAAATAGGTGCTGAGAAAGATAGGGGTCAACGAGTCTAATTCCAAATGAGCTTTCTCATCTATTTTAAGATCTGTTTCAAACTTCCTTAGACAGAAATCTGGCCTTTTAAGGAAAGTGCAGAGAACATGCCTTCCTGGGCTTAGTTTGAGGGAATAGGTGCTGCATTTCACCCTGGAGGTGGCTGCATGAATTTGTGAACTGAGTTGACAACACTGACTCTCCGGAAGAAAAGATGCTATCTGTACCCAGGGAGTTTAATTACAATGGCACTACTTGAAACAGCAGCAGCAACAACAACAACAAACGCCACTGTTAGCCCAGTCACAGCTCAGCTCAGTATTCAGATTCGAGAAAGCAAGAACCGTTTTTTTCCCTGGGGCACCCTTCTCTACTCAAATGCCGGCTGAAAAAAATTCTGCGACGAGCACTGGGAGTGGGAAGAGCGGGTGGAGATGAAAAATAGCCCATATTCAGGAGTTAGAAAAATCATATTAATAAATCATAGGTTTTTTGTTTTTGTCAGAGACTTGCCACTACCTTCAGCATCATCCATCAGGAAATCTAGGGTTGGAAAAGTGTACCAACTGGCCTTCCAAATTGTCTGCATTTGGCAGATGCAAATCACAGTTCACCCCTACCTTCAGCACTTAAAACGGTATCAGGGAAACATAAGCCTCAGTGGAAGAATCTTGAAGTGAAAAATAAATAACTGATCAGTTTAGGGTTAGCGTTCTTGTGTGCAAGGGGGTTAGTGAAGGTCAGGCTATGGGGCGCACCCACAGCGTCAGCAAAGGAGGAAGAATTACGGGGCAGAATGGGCTGAAGAGCCCCAGAGTTTGGGGTCAAGCCAACGGGCTGGGTCTTTGGTATCCTAGGATCTCCTCTGCAGACAATCCTTGGCAGTTTCTCGGTTTGAATCTCGCCTGTACATTTCCAGACGAGACATTCTTACTGAGCGTTCTCACAGCGCCTAGCTCAGAGCTGACCGCAGAGCCGGCTGTCAATAACATCTAGAAGCAAAAGCAGCGTTTGAGGTTAGGGGCGGAAGGGCATCGGTTTTACTTATTTTAAGGCTGGCGCTCCAATGCAGCTGGATCCAACTGCCAGCACAATGTTCCCGATCACGTCTCGCTTCCATTTCAGCCCAGGTGACGTCGGGAAACCCCATAGGACGCGCTCGGGGCTAAGCGGTTAAGCCGCGTCCTTCAGGTGTCAGTCTCGATCCGTTCGGAAACCACAACCTCCAGAATCCCTTGTGCCAGGAGGCCAGGCCGCAAATAAGATGGCTCCAGGAGGGTGGAACATACAGCAGGGGGAAACCTCGTCGTTGGCAGTTTCTTCACGGGATGTGTTTAAGTTGCCGAGTCCCCACAAACGCGCCACCCCACAAACCTCTTTCGAAGCTGTGGAGGCCACCGCTGCCGCCTTGCCCGCTCTTCCAGCAGCATGCTGGGAGTTGTAGTTCAGCAGCCGGACTGCGCGGAGCTATCTTTCCCAGCTTGCCCTGCGGCTCGGACGATAGCAACAGTTTTTTCCAGAACTCTCTCTGCACTGAGAACCCCTTCCCCCCGTTCCCATTCTCGCCGTCGACTCCTTCCAATCTGTGGCAACAGAACAGCGGTTGCAGGAGAGGGCTCGGTCCCTCGCCGCGCCGCCCCGAGGGGCACTTCCGGCGGCGGTTCACTTCCTGGTTGGGTGGATGGAGCCGGGCGGGAGCGCGCGCGGGGGAGGGGCGGCGGGTCAGTCTCCGCCCGGCGCTCCCGGGATCAGCTGGCGGGCGGGCGGGCGCCGAGCGCGGCCCCGGCTCTCGCTGCAGCGCCGCCTCCTCTCTGCGTCGCAGGCCGGCCCGGCGGCCGTGACAATGTCGCGGGGCTGGTAGCTGGGCGCCAGCCGCCGAGCTGTCTCAAGTGGGTGCTGCCAGGATGCCGCCTCGAGGGGTGGCGGGGAGACCCGGGAGGAGCGGGAGGCAGTGCCCGGGAGGGTCAGCGCTGCCCGTGCAGCTCGGATCCCTCGTTTCTCCGAGCTCCCGGATCGGGGGGTCCTGGGTTCTGGGGCCGGGGTCGCGTTTTCAGCCCCAGGGTTTTTCTTGCCAGGAAAATGCATGAAGCGTTTCCCCAGGATGATGGCTTTTGCTCCCCCTAGGACTCAGCGGTTGAATTTTTAAGTATGTTACTGATTCATCCTCTCTTCCTCTGTCATCACAGGTTTAAACTTACACGAATCGCTCTCTGGAGGAGGAGGGGACCCGCCGCACGATTGACACGCATATTCCTATAGGCATCCTCCCTCAGCCCCCACCCCCACGGCCGGATTCGGGTGGCTCCTCTCCGAGCTGAAATCCGAGAAGAAATCCTTGGATCTCTTTTCTTAAAAAAAAAAAAAAAAAAAAATCTAGAAACCATCGGTATTTTGCTTTGCTGCTTCCTATTCGCGAGATGAAGAAGTTTTTCGACTCCCGGCGAGAGCAGGGCGGCTCTGGCCTGGGCTCCGGCTCCAGCGGAGGAGGGGGCAGCACCTCGGGCCTGGGCAGTGGCTACATCGGAAGAGTCTTTGGCATCGGGCGACAGCAGGTCACAGTGGACGAGGTGTTGGCGGAAGGTACGGCGGGGCTCAGTGCGCCGTAAATTAAAATCTTGTGCTGATGCGGCAAGACTGTGGTTTCTAGTTGTTGCATGTATGAATGGGCTTTGACCAGTTGACTCCCCCTTCCCCCTTCACTTGCCCTGTGAGTCATTGTCCTTGAGAGATTTAAAATTGAGATTTGAAACTGACTGGGCTTATGGGGGTGTGGGGAGGTTGCCGAAATTGTTTACCTTAGTGGCCTTTTATTTTTATTTTTTTTTATATTAAGAAGCCGAATTTTGAGGATCACACAAGAAAACGTATGTGTGAAAGTGTAAAGCTTTATGCCAAACGCAGGGTGATGGGCTTGTCATCCTCCTAAAACTTAAAATCTTGATGTGAAGGCTGAAGGGTGGGGATGGGGGGACTTTTAAGAAGAGAGGGTTTTCTCCTTTTCCTACCCAACTTTCCCACTTCCATGAGTAGGCACTGGAAGAAAGAGAGGATTTTCGGAGAATGTGACTGTGTTTTTCCAAGGGGCTCTTGGTGGATTTCACTAGGTTTGTTTCCTGACCCAACTGTAATCAGGTCCCCAGGATATAGCAAAGATAACAGAAATTATATAAAACAAATGTGGTTATTTTGAACTCAATCTAGCAGGCCCCTCTTCCCCTCGCTTTAGGTTTTGTTTTTGTTTTTTTAACCAAAAGAAAAATTACTTGAGAGTGGCTCTGATTTTGTTTTTTCCCTATCAGGGAGGATGTTATTTAGATCTGCTTCGTAAATTTCCTCTGTGTTTCATCTGTGTATCTATACTCATGTAGATATACATCTTTATTCCCCCAGGCTTTTGGGAAATCTTTGCATATCTCTTTTGGTAACCTTAACCACGACCTTCATAATTATGCCAGACTCATACTTTTCACAGGCCATTGCCTGCCTAGTGTGTTTTTATTTTTAATAAAAGCAGCAATTTCCTTGGCATGAAGCAATTCAGACTAATTGGATGGGGCCAACCTGCTGTAGGTTGTGTTACAGACTGAGAGGGGTTGGAGGAAGGGAGAGGTCTCTTTTACTGCAACATGGTGGTGGTAGGGAACAGTTTTATTAGCAAGGGAAGAGAGAAAGCTAAGAGGCATCTTTAAAAAGGGGCCTTTTGCAAGCTAAAGTTGAAGCTAGGTTCCTGACCTGGCCCTGGGAAATGCTTGTCGTGGTGAGTGTTGCAGGTTGGTGGGTGGGTTTGGAAGAGGAAGAAGCTGTGTTTGGCTCTCAGCTTGTGTAAGTGCTGGATTCAGCAGGGCCCAGTTTTCTGGGAATAGAGTTGAAGCCTGTACTTTAAAAACACGATTTAAAAAAAAGATGTCTGACAGTTAATGTCCTTGTGAAATTATTGCTTTTCCATTCTCAGTACTGCTCTAACTGGGCTTTATCTGGGGCCTGAGTCACTGTCCCTTTGGATCTTTCCTGTGGACTTTGGTGCAGGCTGGGAGATGCTTCTGTGCCCGCTGCCAGATCCGCACCCTTGAGTCTGATCTGTCTCTTTCATCCCTGTGCCAAAGCCCTTGACTTACAGTGGGGTGGAGAAATGGTGAAAAGGAGCGTGTGTCAGAGAAATCGGAGAAATGAGGGGCAACAGAGCACTTTTTGTCCCCTCATAGCTCACGAGCATTTTGTTCAGCTAGGATGGTCTCATCATGGATGATGCTGCCCTAAGTGGTTCATGTTCTTCAAGTGTGAGAAGAGTGATCGGGAGGAGAAAAGGCAAAATCGGCCTTTGTTACCTAGGCTGCCTTCCTCTTCCCTGGGGTTCATCTTCGAGAACTGTGCATCATATCTTGTGATATTTTTACATGGAATTTAGGACTTGTAGCTCTGCATTTATTCATTCAGCAGTTTATGGAGTGCCTGTGAAGTGCCAGGTGCTGTGCTAGGCTCTGGGGGTATGCTGTTAAACTAGATGCTGGCTTTTACCAACTGCTTTAAGAGATGAAAAATAGCCAGTTATAGTGGATTGATAAGTGCCATCATAGAGGTAAACTTAGGTTGCAGTGGCACCCAATTTTAGGGAGCCCAGGATAGTTTTCTGGAGAAAGTGACTGAAGATTGAGTCCGAGTTAGTATGGTGGCAGCCTGGGCAAAGACAGAGTAGCAAGAGAGAATATCGTGTAGAACCAGGTCTGGCTATGCTGCCCTTTTTGTGTTCTTTGGCTTTAGTTGTGTTTGAATTTGTGGCTCCTAGAAGTGTGTGGATATGTAGGAACCAGTATACAAAGTACTTATGTAGCACGTACCAAGTCCAAAGACCCTGTGAAGTTCTGAGAGGGATGAAGGAGGTCTAAAGTGTGATTGCCATCTGCCTTTAAGGATCTGCCAGTGAATTTGGAAGGCGAGGTGTATATTCACACATACGGTAGGAGGCTTACCAGCTACTGTAGAGTCAGAGAGATCTAGGTTCACATTCTGGATTTCTTTACTAGCTGTAGAACTGTAGGCAAGACATTGCAAACCACTCTTGAATCTCTGTTTCCCTGTGGCAGTGGTTCTCAAAGTGGAGCATCTTTATTACCTGTGAGCTTGTTGGAACTGGAGATCCTCAGGCCTCACTATGTGGGCTGTGAGTGTGGGCTTAATAAGTTCCTGGAGAGATTCTGATGCAAGGTCAAGTTTGAGAGCCACTGCCTAATGGACTGGTCATGAAGATTAAATGAGGCAATATATATAAAGTAATTAACATTTTCAGGTGTTCAATAAATGGTAGCCATTACTTACCAGCAATGTTATATATCATATATATATATATATATATATATATATATATATGGAGAGAGACAGAGAGAGAGAGAGAGAGAGAGAGAGTGTGTGTGTGTGCATGTGTGTGTGTGTGTGTGTTAAAGGGGAGTGGGAGCATTGTGAAAGCTAGATGAGTTACAGCAATCTGAAGCAATTCCTTTCCACCATTGTTAGGGGACAGAGCCAGATGTTCTTTGCAGAGTCCTCACCAGCTCCTTAAAGGGTCAACAGATGTTTTGCGTAGCCATGCTTCTTCCCTGGACTCTCTTCTCTGTGAGTCTCCAAATGCTGACCTATCTACATTTCCAGCCAGAGTTGTCTAAGGACCATGGGAGTTGTACACTGTGTGCCCAGAGCAGTCGCCAGGCAGTTTAGAGAGGAGTGGTGTGAGAGGCTTCAAAACACAAACCAGATTACCAGCACATTCCACTGATGATCTCTTTTCCTCTAGTGTGAGTATTAGTCTGTGCTTTTTCGTGAGGAATTGCAAGACCCCAAGGAGCAGGTGCTGGGCAAGACAAAAGGATGCTGTACCGCCATATCTCCCCTGTTAGCATCAGGCTTTCTAGCCTGATTTTACTAACTAGTCCAGCAGGGGCTGTTTGGGGGAAGTGAAGTGTTTAAGTCATGAGTTTAGAGGAATATGGCTATTTCTAGGCTGGGTGCCAGGGAGAATATTTTCTTTCTAGCTTTCTCAGCGAAGATGCCATGATGAGATGCTAAATCATGCCTAAGTTAATGGGCATGCGATGTCAAGGGAAGATTTGGTTTAAGCTTCCAGAATGAGCTCAATGGAAAAATTGGAGCAATGTTCAAAGAAGGATTGAGAAACTGTGCTTTTATCATACTTCCTTAGCTATATGAGGACTTATATCTCAGCTTTAAACAATAAATGTTTATTTATTTATTACTGTGTCCAAGACAACATTCCAGAGCTATAAGGCGGACTAGATGGCTCCTCAGCAGTTTTCTAACCTATAGTCAAGGAATCCAGGTCTAGGGCTGATGAAAACTACCAAATGTTCACATCAGTAAACTTTGGTAATTTCTCCTACCTACAGAGCAAACTAGTAAGTCTAAAAATATGTGTGAAGGGCTGGTGTGGTGGCTCACACCTGTAATCCCAGCGCTTTGGGAGGCTGATGTGGGCGGATCACCTGAGGTTTGGAATTCGAGACCAGGCTGACCAACATGGAGAAACTCCTTCACTACTGAAAATACAAAATTAGCCGGGTGTGGTGGTGTATGCCTGAAATCCCAGCTATTTGGGAGGCTGAGGCAGGAGAATCGCTTGAACCCGGGAGGCAGAAGTTACAGTGAGCCGAGATCATGCTATTGCACTTCAGCTTGGGCAACGGAGTGAGACTGTCTCAAAAAAAAAAATAAATAAAAGTGTGTGAAACCACCAAAAATTCCATTAAAGGCACATCATTCTAATGTGTTGGTGTTAGCAATATGATACACGAATGTGCCTCTTTGTGGCAGGCACTGTATTAGATTCCAGAGATCTTAAGATGGATGGGACACAGGCAGAGCTCAACACCTGAAATAAGTGTCCAGCACTTAAGCGTGGCCTTTGACATACCTTAGATGGTAAAAGATGTTATCATAAAGAGGATGGGGGTGAGGGTTTGTAGATGACATGCAGTTTGAACAGGAATAGAAATTGCTCAGCAGATGGGGGTTCCAGATGGGTGTTATCCAGGACCTTCCAGGCTGAGAGAATAGCATAGGCAAAGTAAAGTGGTGAAACAGCCTGATGAACTTTGAGAATACTGACTAGTTAGTTTAGTATTACCATTTTGGTCAGTACACGTTTCCTCCCCAGAATCAAGGGAAGGACAGAAAGACATGGAGTGGTAGAATGAAATTCTTTTGCACTGCTCCCTGGACTTGCTTGCTGCTCACTTTCTTCAGTGGCCCTGGGCCTTTTGAATGCCTCATGAATAGAGATCAAGAATCCACAGCTCCCTGCCCGTGTCTCAGCCCCGTGTCAGTTGTGGGGAAAGGGAGCAGTGAGTATCTGGGGAAAGAATGGTCCCAGAAGATTGGATAAGAGGCTAGAAGCTTAAGCAGAAGCAGATGGGGAAGGGAAATGGCCGGTGTTACCGAAAGGTGTGAACAGGGGAGATAATGAGGATGTTTGACCAGAGCAGAGGGTGCATTGGAGAGAAAAGGAAGGACTAATTTTATGGAGAGCCTTGAGTGCCAGGCAGAGAGATTAGTTATAAGCACCTGAGACCTTC